AACATAGATAAGTCAAAGCAACATATAGTTATGTATATTGTTACGGCAGCTAGAATTCTATATGCAAAAAATTGGAAAAGTCCGACGATACAGAAACAAGAAGATCTTATTGAAAAAATACGGGAAATAGCAGAAATGGACATTTTATCAGAAGTCATGAAGGACTATCCCCTACAAAAGGCAACAGAAAGATGGGACCTATTCAACAAATGGACCAAATTAACAGGCAACATGTAAATAGCATATATTGAAATGAGAACTTAATCTAAAAGGCAGAAAAGAGAAAACAGAATAACTTAAAACTTTGATATGGCAATAAGTACAGAATGGTTGTTAGCATGTTATGGTCTCTCCTCTTCCTTATAAATTCCTAAGCCCCCTTTTCCTTTTTGTCACCCCTTATGTTAAAAAAAAAAAATTAAAAAAAGGGTCAAAGGAAGTGGTGGCAGCGATCAAGCGCTTTGTTCACCATAGCTGATGTCACAGGCAGAAAATGGTTACATCTCACTGGGCACTTTTCAAATATTTGAAAGGCTGTCAAACAGAGGAGGGACAAGATCTGTTCTCAAGGTCCTAAACCGTTTAGGGCTTTATGTCCAGAATGCAGGACACGCAACAATGGGCTCAAGTTCAAGGAAGCCAGATTTCGGTTGACTATCAGGAAAAACTTCTGTTAGAGCAGTACAACAATGGAACCCGTGACCTTGAGAGGCGGCGAATGCTCCAATGCTGGAGACATTCAAGAGAAACTTCGATAATCCCCTGGCAGATATGCTTTCATTGTACTCCTGCATTGAGCAGGGGGTTGGACTTGAGGGCCTTGTAGGCCCCTTCCAACTTCACTTTTCTATGATTTTATGATAGCTCTTCATGATCAATACAGCCAAAGGCTTTGTTGATGTCAATAAAGCACACACAGATACTAAAATTCTTTTGTATGCTTCTGTAGCCAGCATATATTTGCGGTGTGACCTCTAGTGCCTCTTCCTTTTCAGAGTTCAGCTTCAACATCAGGCAGTTCTCACTCAGTGGCTGAAATCCCAACAGCATAACTTAGACCTTGTAAGGCAGAAGACACCTTCGACCATGGTGGCTTTTCAGACAGACAGTAACCTTTATTGGCATACGGTACAAAATTAAAACACACTAAAATGCAGATAAAACATTCAACAGCTAACGTGGCAGGGAACAGCCAAATGCATATTTAGGGCTTGGCATTCTGCAACAGTAAATTCTGTGATTGACTGTGGACCACAACAAAATATGGCAAGTTCTTAAAGAAATGAGAGTGCCTAAATACCTTATCTATTTCCTGAGAAATCTATATGTGGGACTGGAAGCAACAGTTAGAACTGGATATGGAACAACTGCTTGGTTCAAAATTGGGAAAGGAGTACGACAAGGCTGTATTTTGTCTCCCTGCTTATTTAACTTATATGCAGAATACATCATGCAAAAGGCTGGACTGGATAAATCCCAAACTGGAATTAAGATTGCTGGAAGAAATATCAACAACCTCAGATATGCAGATGATACCACTCTGATGGGAGGAAGTGAGCAGGAATTAAGAAACCTCTTAATGAAGGTGGAAGAGGAGAGCACCAAAAATGGTCTGAAGCTCAACATCAAAAAAACTAAGATCATGGCCGCCAGTCCCATCACCTCCTGGCAAATAGAAGTGGAAGATATGGAGGCACTGACATATTTTAATTTCTTGGGATCCATGATCATTGCAGATGGTAACAGCAGACATAAAATTAAAAGACGCCTCCTTCTTGGGAGGAAAGTGACAAGAAACCTAGACAGCATCTTAAAAAGCAGAGACATCGCCTTGCCAACAAAGATCCGCATAGTCAAAGCTATGGTTTTTCCAGTATGAAAAGGACAGATCCTGAAGCTGAGGCGCCAATACTTTGGCCATCTCATGAGAAGGGAAGACTCCCTGGAAAAGACCCTGATATCAGGAAAGTGTGATGGCAAGAGGAGAAGGGGACGCCAGAGGACGAGATGACTGGACAGTGTCATCCAAGCTACCAACATGAATTTGACCAGTGGAGGCAGTGGAAGACAAGGCAAGAGGAGCAGGGGACAACAGAGGTAGTTGGACAGTGTCACGGAAGCGACCAACATGAATTTGACCCAACTCCGGGAGGCAGTGGAAGACGGGAGGGCCTGGCGTGCTCTGGTCCATGGGGTCATGAAGAGTCGGACACAACTGAATGACTAAACAACAACAGCTTTCTCAAATATGTTAAATAACAACAATTCTGTGACAGCACGCTGCATCGCCTCTGCATGATGGAGTAGATGTATCTGGCTGTTATCAGGGTAAGTTACTTAGTAGTGCCACCTGGGAGTTGTCGAATTTTTCTCAGGTTGTCCCACCCAGAATGGGAGGAAAGGCAAGTGCTTAGATAAGACAGGCAGATATCCTTATAGAAGATACAGTAGAACAACATATGCTGCAAGGATTCAGCCACTCCCTGACCACAGGGGCAGACACTCAGTTCTGTGGGTAAACCCATATATCTGCCCTGTGCTAAGTTCGAAGGTGCAGTATTGCACCTCGCAAGGGTAAATGCCCATCTATCTTGTGGATGCTCTGATAGAGGTAATTTTGTCTTCTGCCATGGGAGAGGGGCAACTGAAAATATAGTGGGGAACAGACCCTTTGTGTAACACTATGCAAGGTTTTCAGAAGTTAAACATTTCTGCACACCCACCACAGCACCTCAGAACCCAAGTCTCCTTTGGAATCTGTCTTAGGGAAGTGGAGGTGGGACAGAGGAGGCTCTTTAATTTACAAGAATAGCTGGTCTTGTCACATTATTTGGTGTCTCCTTTCTTGGAGAGTGGGAATGTTATATGGAATACAGTGGTACCTTGCTAAACGACGACCCCGCTAAACAAATCCGCATGACGATGACTTTGTGATCGCTATAGCAATTCGCAAAACAGTAATTCCTATGGGGGATTTTCGCTGGACGTCGATTAGGTCTGTGCTTCGCGAACCATTTGTTCGCAAGATGATTTTTTCGGCTCCGCAAAATAGCTGCTCTGTGTTTTCCGGACCCATGCTTCACAGGGCAGCCATTTTTACAGCTGATCGGCGCTCGCAAAATGGCTTCCCTATGGGCGATCTTCGCTGGATGACGAGGTATTTTCCCCATTCGAATGCATTAAACTAGGTTTCAATGCATTCCAATGGGGAAAGGGTTTTCGCATGACAATTTCTCTAAACAGCTATTTTCCCGGGACAGATTATCGTTGTCATGCAGGGCACCACTGTATGTCATAAGGGAGTATTACGTTTATGTTGAGAGTCGTTTCCACAACTACATGTTTATATCTTCCATAAGACTGAAAAATAAACAAAGGGAAATTTAAGCCCACCTTAGGGGATACTGAAACATGTAGATAATACTTTAGAAAGAAAGAAAGAAAGAAAAGATTGACCGTAATGGCCAGTTATGATGATTTTGGCATGTGGAATTGCTGTTTGCGGAGCTTTGTAAATTCAAGTTGGGAGAGGCCTTTATTGGTTGGGGGAAGGCACTAAAATTGGATGAAGAGACTCAGTTCTTCCTCTTAGGGCAAGCAGGGCAGTTTTATCCATTTCAGATTATTCTCCATCCATTGCAAGAGAGGCAGCTCCACAATAAACGGAATAACTTCCCCTTCTTTGTAACCTTGTGAGGACATATGGTTGTTGTGGGTTTTTCAGGCTTCTTGGCCGTGTTCTGAAGGTGGTTTTTCCTAACGTTTCGCCAGTCTCTGTGGCTGGCATCTTCAGAGGACAGCAAACTGAGCACAGTTTGTGGGGTTGTGGCATGGTCCTGGAGCATTGTAAGGTGGCTGTTGTGGCTTCCCAGTCCAAATAGTCAGCTGATGCTGGCCTAACAGGATCAAACAGGCAGTGGGTGGGAGGGTGGGAGGCTTCCCCTGAATGGCTAAACTTTGCTCTTTCTCACCAGGCTTGGATGACCAACAGGAAAGTGCCCTTGTTCTGCTCCTGGTGGCCAGCATAAGACAGGCCACGGAGGGATACCCGCCTGTCGGCAGGGTCTCTGGAAAGAAGGTACCGCAAAGGCTGCACGGGGTTCTTCCATGGGTTTGCCCCGTTCCCATACAGCCCACGAGGTGCCTCACTTCCCCTTCTCCCCATCCCGTCTGCCTCCTTTGCCAGGTGCTCTCTGCTAGGGAGCGCAAAGTGCACGCCGAGGACCGTCTGAGACTCACCCAGCACCTCATTCCACTGCTGCCCCAGCTGTTGGCTAAGGTGAGCAGAGACGTGGGGCCCAGTGGGGTTCCCAGCTGTGCCCCAGGCGGCGGGGCCGAAGCCTCCAGGGCTGCTGCTTCTCCTTCTGCTCTCCTTGCAGTTCTCGGCCGATGCAGAGAAAGTGGTACCTCTTCTGGAGGCTGTCTGCTATTTGGACCTGACCCTTTACAGCACAGGCCGGCTGGAGAAGGTAGGGGACAGCGCCTCCCTCCACAGGCCACGCAGTGGGTCGGCTAGACTGTGGGAGTGGACTTTGGGAGAGTGGGGTTTTAAGTCCATGGTCAGAGGTAAAAACCCTTCATGTCACCACGAGTCAGCCACCCTTCTCCTCCTGATGTCCGTTCCAGGAGCACTGATGTGAGGACAAAGTAGAGTGAAGGAGAAGTAGGGAACAGATGCAATAGATGACTGTGTGCGCGCCACACACAGCAGGAACCTTGGCGTTAGACTACTGTAATTCAGCCTACATGGGGCTTACCTTAGAGGCCCTGTGGAAGCTACAACCGATACAGCAGCCTGCAAGGCAAAGCAGCAGCGGGGCTATCAATGGGTGCCCTCCCACCAGGGTCAGAGGTCACCTTCTGTTGGCAGCAGCAGCTGCTGCATTGGCCACCGCTGGCTTTCTGGGTTCAGTTCAAGGTGTTGCTTTTGAGCTTTGAGGTCCTGCAAAGCCTTGGACCCCCATGTACCTCCTGGACTGCTTCTGCCTATAGTTGAAGTTCTCCAGAATTGCTCTGCTCAAGGGATCGACTCTTAGAAAAGATCTTGTGTCGCTGCTCCTGCATTGTCCCTAGAGCAGTACGACAGTGGAACTGGTGACCTCGGGAGTTGGTGAGTGCGGCAACACTGGAGGCATTCAAAAAAAAAAACTTAATCACTTGACAGATATGCTTGGATTGTATTCCCGCGTTGAGCAGTGGGGGGCGGGTTGGACTTGATGGCCTTGTAGGCCCCTTCCAACTTCACTTTTCTATGATTCTGTGATTTTGGAATTCTCTTTCTGGGCCCCTGCTGGGATGCTGGAGGGGAAGGCCTTCAGATTTTCCAAAAGAGCTCTTGGAGGGGAAGCAAAGCAGGATTGCCTCGGAAGGCCTTCAGATTTTCCAAAAGAGCTCTTCTACCACTTAGCATGGCAAGCATTCGTTATCTGGTAATGTATAGAAGATAAAATTGTCTGGTAAGCTTTAGTGTTGCTGATCTTCCTTTGCATTGTTTTTACTGATGTGATGTATTTTATTACTTGAGTGTTGTAAAAGTGTGGAGGAATGTGCCATTCTGGGTGTCTTCAGAAGAAGCATGTCGCAGAAATGAAACTAATAATTAATAACGGCACATGTGAGGATGTGCCCAAATGAGCCTGTCCAGATCCCCTGCCCCAATCCTGCCTCTTCCGATGGCATGCTCTTTTCCTGTCCCCAAGTACTTAGAACTGCTGCTGACTCAGCTATGGGAAGTAGTGGACAAGCACACCGACTCCGAGGTGCTACAGGCAGCTTCCCGGACTCTTCACGTGCTCTGCTGTCCGGAATTTGCATTCTACAGCCGAGCAGATTTTGCTCGCAGCCGCCTCGTGGACCATCTGGCGGACAAGTTCCAATTCAAAGTCACCGAACTGCTCCAGGTACATCAAGGAGTCTCTTGCAGGCCGGCCTGCTTCATGGAGGTGGAGGCTGAAGGGGCTTGATCCCATCCCTGTGCGTGTTTCAGGAGGGACTGCTTTTCAGGGGAGGACAGGGAGTCCATGAAGGGCAGAAGTGCCCCCAGAGCTTGTGGCATTGGCAGGGGTGGGGAGCTGGCCTGTACAGCGATGGGCTGCAGGCGTGCCCTAACCACAGCCATGCCTGTGTGGCTTTCTTCCCCTACCCACCCCATTTTCTTTTTGTGTGGAAGGGTTTTTAAGAGTGTCCCAAGATGGATTATTTCCCTCCCTCCTGCAAAACAAACACAGGCCTGTCTCAAGCAGTGCAGTTGTTTGATCCTCACATGCAGCTGCAGACGGTCTCCAGGAATTCTGTTGCTTTTGCCTTTTTCTGTCTTTCCTGTCTCTTTAACAGGCTACATTAGAAGAGAGTCCCCCTTTGCTTCTTAATAAATTCATGATGATTTACATTGAATTGTTTGAGACTATTTAGCTATGTTATTAGCTAACTGTCAATTAGGTAGCCCCATGAAAAGACCCTGATGTTGGGAAAGAGTGAAGGCAAGAGGAGAAGGGGACAACAGAGGATGAGATGGCTGGACAGGGTCACTGAAGCGACCAACATGAATTTGACTCAACTCCAGGAGGCAGTGGAAGACAGGAGGGCCTGGCGTGCTCTGGTCCATGGGGTCACGAAGAGTCGGACACAACTTAACGACTAAACAACAACAACAACATGACATGTCTGCTGGTATGTTCCACCACAACCTGAAAATGACACAGTGGTGTATAATAATGAGTATCATTCACCTCTTTAAATGGCTTTGTAACTATTGGGTGAAGAAGTGGCACTAATTCTCCTAAGCAAGCAAGCAGAAACATTTGCATTGAAAAGCGGCAAAAACAGATTAAGCTCTAGATCAGAGCAGTGGCTGAGTTCAAGAGGTTGGGTCATTCGTGCCATTTTTATGTTGCCCATCTAGCAAATTGCTACTCTGTAGTGTACATAAACAATAACCAGAAAAACACATTCTAAAATACAGAGATTTAAAAAAACTCCGACAGGCAGCAAGAAACAGTGAAATGGCAGAGGAAAACCCTTCCTCCTCCTCATGTTCAATCAGTTGACAACCTCCCGAAATCTCCTCTTTTTTGGTTGTTTTAAAGGCAGGGAGGGAGGGATTGCCATTTCCTTGTGGTTTTTTTTTTTATGAGACCACTGTCCTTGGCTTGATGCTTTCCGTTCCCCTCTCAGTCTGTTCTGGACAGTGCCCCAACCTTCTGCAGCAGATTTGGAGTCATGGGGAGGGTGAAGGGGGTGCTGCAGTGGAGGGGGGTCACAGACGCCTTCGCCCCTTTTGCTCCCTGGAGAAGCATTCCTGGGGAAGGCTTTTTGGTGGTACTGCCTACCAGGCCAACAGTGATGTCTCTTGTCTAGGGTGGACCATAGTTGTTTGACCACAAACTTTCTGAGTTTAAGTTAGCAAATTTCAGTTCTGAAAACAATCTTCCGTTCTGCCTGCTCATCTCACTTTTTGGCTACATTTTTATTCTGTTTTAAAGGCTTTGAAGTGGGGTTTATTGTGTCTTCAATTTGCTACTTCCCAAAACAGGGCAGAAAGGAATAGCTTGTATCGCAGTGCCTACTGCTGTCCATGCAGGTAAGGAACCGCTAGCAGTAAGTCCTCTGTTTTGTTTCTTCATTTTCAAAAGTCTTCATTTCTGGAGCAGGAGGAGGCATATAGCGTGGCCACCACCCTCAAGCGCATTGCCATCTTCCACAGGTAAGAATGAGAATAGGCAGATGCCAGTAGCACAGCATGAGAAAATATGGAGGGGATGCCCCCCCCCGGTTCATCTCGTCCAACCCACCTGCTGCTGCCAAACCAACCAGTTCACTGCCCAAGCATCTCTGACTGGTGGCCATTCAGCCTCTGTCTTGGAAGGTTCCTGTCAGTGCAGGAACCTTCCCTCTTCCAAGGAGGTGGATGGAAGCCCATCAGCTTCAACCCTTCCTTCCTCTGCTGGACTGACAGCCCCCCTCCCCCCCCCCGTGTCCCTGGGAGTCCCATCTGCTCACTCGGGCACCTTTTCTGCTGAGTGGGCGAAAGGGAGTGTTTGGCACGCTTTGGGCCTTTTTCTGCTTTGTCTGCAGTGCTCACGACCTGACTCCATGGCGCTTCCTTGAGCCTTGCGTCCGCCTCCTGCACCACAGAGTGGACACTGGCGAGGTCCCGACAGAGGTACTCGGGTGTCCATGGGTGGGGGGTGCGCTTCCTGCCCTGCCCCCTTCCCTTTCCCATTCCTGAGGGGAAGGGGGAGCCCCCTCCCCACTTTCTCTCTTCCTGTGGAGAGACAACAGAACTGACGTCCCCCTGCTTGCTTGCTTGCTTGCTTGCCTGCCTTCCTCGCAGGTGGTGGTCTCTGCTATGACCTGCGCACACTTCTCATTGCTCTGGGAACTGGCACTCTTGCATGCGGACAAAGGCCCCCTTTCCTCTGAGGTGAGCCCGCTGGGGAGGGACCGGGGGGGGGAGGGATGCTTTGAGAGAGTCAGTCCCCTTGTCCCAGTCCCTTCCTGGCTTCAGACCTCCTCTCTTCTCAGCAGCAGCTCAGCAACCTCCAGGAGAAAGTCGCCACATTTTTCTCCCTCTGTCAGAGCTGCCTGGTGGACATGGACCCTCGTGTCCAGGAGCAGGTGAGAGGCCCCTGGGGCCTAGGCCAGGGGAGCTACAGGGGTGGCGCTTCATGCTGCTTCACAAAACCTAAGGAATGGTTACAGGGATGGGCTTCACCTCCACCCCATGTCTGTGTCTGCAACACAAGAGGAGCCCTTTTGGAACTTAAAGAGTTGAGGAGCTGTAAACAAAAACAAAAAAAGCACTAGAAGGCTGAGGGACCCCCCTCCACTGTGATCCCAGCACCACCATTGAAAACTCGTTATTTATTGTGTATGGTCTGTAGGCTGCCTTTCTTCTGGGGAGGGGACCTCAGGTGGCTCACAGTACAATAAATTACAGGCTAAAATACCATTAAACATGCAATAATAATTTAAACCCATTAACGTACGAAAAAGATTTAAACTTTAAACGCAAAAAAACAAACAAGCAAAAAGCAACATACAAGTAAAGACTCTTTTAAGTAAAAACAAGCAATGAAAATGTTTCAAATACATTCTAAAATGTAAGAGCTTATAACCTAATAACACACACATAAAAACAAAAGACAATGCATCTCTCTCTCTCTCTCTCTCTCCTCCCCCTCCCCACATATTGTCTTTTTAATGATGTTCTTCTTGGGTTCTTGAGGAGGAAGGTGGGATAAAAATATTTTGAATGAATAAAAATAATAATAAACAACAAATACACAATTGCATCCTGTTTACCCAGGTTTCACAATGTGGAATTATTGTTTGTGCTACTGTAGTAGAAATTCTCATGTATTTTATTTTTACTCCATGTCATGCGTGAGGAAAGATTACATTGACAAACATCTACTGTATGTTTTATCTATCCCCTCTAACTTTCTATTTTTAAAAAACTTTTTTTACTGCAGGTTCAGACACAACTGGCTACATAAATCGTACATCTCAAAAATTTAAATTTGATAAGAGATGGTGCTATAAGTTTATACAGTTTTCTATTAGATCTGTTGTTTACTATAATCTTATCTATATACAGTGGTGCCTCACAAGACGGGTGCTCCTTTTAACGACGAATCCGCATTACGACGAGGTTTTTGCGATCGTAAAAGCGATCGCAATATGACGTTTAGAATGGGCGAATTTCGCTGCGCGATGGTTGATTCCCTCTTTCGGGAACCGATTTTTGCTTCCCGGCGATCAAAACAGCTGATCGTCGGGTTTTCAAAATGGCCGCTGGGTGCTCAAAATGGCTCCCGCTGTGTTTAGGAGCCATTTTTCGCTGCACAGGCACTCGAAAATGGCTGCCCCTACGGAGGATCTTCGCTGGACGGTGAGTTCTTAGGTGATTGGAACGCATTAACCAGGTTTTAATGAGTTTCAATGGCTTTTTAATTTTCGCTTTACGATGTTTTCGTTCTGCAGCGATTTCGCTGGAACGAATTAATATAATGCGAGGCGCCACTGTACACCAAGTTTCAGACCTTGACACTTCCTCCCTGGCTTGGAAGGGTAGTTCCCTTCTTATGGGCTTGATTCTGAGTCATTTGAAGCGGTGCTTTTGTTTCCTTTTCTGATGGCCCCTTGCTCTCCTTCTCCAGGCCTTTGTGCTCCTTAGTGATCTGCTCCTGATCTTTGGGCCCCAGCTGGCCCAGGGAGGGCGCCAGGAGCTGCAGGCGCTCATGCACCGGGCGGAGCCGTCTCTGCAGTTGCAGCTGGCTGGCTTCCTCATGGACCGTGTCTTCAACCACAGCCAGGACCAAGGTAGGGAGGGGGGCTGCGCAGGCTGTTCCTTGGGCTGAGGGGGAGCCCAGGCAGGCTGGCGGACGGTTGGGGTGCCATCAAGAGAACCAGCTGACTCTCCCATCCCGTGTCTCTTGGCTTCTTGCTCCAGAAGGTGAAGATGAGATGGTCCAGATTGAGCAGCTACACCAGCGCCGCCGTCTCTTGGCTGGATTCTGCAAACTCATCATCTACGGAGTCCTGGATCTGAGCGCTGCCTCTGATGTGTTCAAGTACTACTCCAAGGTGTGGAATGGGGAGCTGTGGGGACCCCAAAGAGATGGGGCCCAGACCCTGCTGGGAGCTCCTTCCTATAGCTTTGGTTTGCCCTACGGCATCACGGGGGGGGGGGGGGTCATGAGGGTAGTGGTGGCCCTGCTGTTTCTGTCATGTCTTCCCGGATGCCCCGTGCAGCCGGGCCACTCTGGACACAGAAGGGAAAGCTGGCGTCTGCTCTCCTTTCCCTTGACTGGAGGTGAGAGTTGGGGTTTGACCTGGAACTGAGCCTAGCTGTTTTTCCTCTGCAGTGCAGGGGTGGTTTTGTTGCTGGTGTGTCTCCAGTATGCCCTTTGCTCAGCTCCTCCTCCTTTGCCCAGCAAAGGGAGGTAGGGGCTCTTCTTAACTCAGCTGTCCCAGAAAGGCTGAGACCTTGTAGCTCACATCTTTCCTCTAGGCCTGGGCCTGGTCGGTTTTCATGCCATATGCCTTTGGCCTTTCAGCCAGGACAGAACAGCTTGGGGGGGCGGCGAGTCTTCTTCTTCTTCTACCTTACTTGGTTTATTGATTTAATACCTGCCTTTCCTGTAGTGGGGAACTCAAGAGCAGCTTACAGACCATTCAGAAAAACAAATATTGAAATTGCTTTAAAAAGGGCCAGCGAAATTAGAACGTTTAAAAAGCAAATAAACATATAATAAATAAAACTGCTGATTAAGACCCATTTAAAACCACATACTAAAAAAATATATATACAGTGTCCAACTAAAAGGTCAGATACTTCTCCAACTCCTTTTTGAAATGGCTTGTTTTGTTTTTGTTTTTGAAAAACATTTCCTTTTGTTTCAAGATAGCATAAGGACTGACAGTATTTCTTTCAAAGACAAGGACGTAAGGTGTGCTACTGAACACTCCTCTGGCCACAAGCCCCCCTACCCCCCCCCATATGCTTTCCTGCCCATTCTGCTGACCTCCAGAGTGGGCTAAGCCTGCACTGTCTTAGCGTCCCCAAAGGCTGTGGTTCCCAGATATTCCCTTCTTGCACACGATTGGTCCTTCCTCCTGACAGTTGGGCATCTCCTGGCATGAGGATCGAACCCCCGCAAGGTGCCCCCTTTCCTGCCTTCCACAGGCCCCTCGTTTCTGCTCCCCTGACCAGGAGGAAACTGCCCATAGTTCAGATGTACGGAACTGCCTGGGAAATTATTTCTTGACTGGTATGGAAGGAAATTAATAATCTGACCTTGATGGAGGGCAGAGCCTGACCATTGTTCCAGGAGGCCCTTGCCTGTGCTTTGGCCTTCATCCAATCCCAGCATGTTGTGCAGGCGTCGTGCTCCAGTGCCCTTCTCTGTCTGGTGTTTTCCCACATCTAAAAAGAGGAGAGGAGAAATTCCTCCATTCGTTGGCGCTGTCCCTAATCTGACAGCTATTTTGCCAAGCATGCTTTTGCTCAAGGCGGGGTTCCTTCTTAGCCCCACTGGCCCTCAGAGCAGAGTGGCCTTTGCTTCAGGGCCCACCTGCATGCCTTCTACAATGGCCGTCTGCTCCTGCCCACAGATTCCTCCGGTGCCTGCCAGCTGAATGGCCTCTCCCTTCATCCCTTCGTGCTTAGGGCACACTGGCTAGGCTTGACGGGCGTGGCAGCTCAGGGCCCTCTTAGTCCTTAGGGCAGGGCTGGCCAAAGGTGAAGGCCCACCCGCCCCTTGCCTTGAACAGCCTTGAGCCAGGCTGTCCCGCCCCCAATTGCCATATGGCCAGGTGAGGTCTGACCCCTGCCGAAAACGGTTGTGTGCCACGTTCCCCTCGGGTGGGGCAGTGGCCGCATCCGTCTGAGCTGCCGCTCTTGAGCCTTCTGGAAACCTGCGGGGCAGCCACAAGGGGCCATTCCAGATCCTTTTGACAGGGTTGCCATTACCTTTGCGGCTGCAGAGAATCCACGTCAAGGAACCCGGCAGCAGTACCTTCTCCCTCTGCAGCCTCAGCCCACCGGATTCTCTCTCCATCCGCCTGATTGTTGGATCAGTTGAGACAGAGTCTGCTGCTGGATGCTTCCTACGGAGGCAAAGCACACTTAGAGCTCTGCTTGATTCGGAATGGGTGGCAGAGCCCCATTCAGTCCAGTCAGGTGCAAAGGCTTCTGTTGCCGGTCCTCGGGTGGGTGGGTGGGGTGCATTCTTTGCCGTTGACCTGCTCTCTTG